TGGGAGTTCAGGAAGAAGAGTTGTGAGGCTGCTGTCACTGCTCCCCAGCATATGTTGTGTGAGGTGAAAGTTTTATTCTGGGGAGCAGTATAGCAAACTCTATAGTAGAGCCCTCAGTATTGCAGGTTTAAGGGATAGGAATTAGGTAGGCTTGGAGATACCCTTATCTGAGGCTTTCAAAGGCTTTGCCCAATCTGGCAAGCTAGTCCTGCATTAGACGGAGCCAAGTTAAGGCTTTTTTGCTACCTTAGGCACAGCAGCAAAGAGCTCTCCGCTCCCATGTCAAAATTGAAAAGACATACAGTACTGTGTGCAGGGCTGGCCAGATTATTTTGGAGCCTGAGGCCAATTAAAAAAGGAAAAAAATCAAGAGTTTGGCAGGAACAAATGCTTTTAATTAATTCAGTTTCCCAATATGAAGAACATACGTTGGGCTACTATTGTAATTTACGTGCCAGAATCATATTACAGTATTTATGTATGCTGGTGTAAGTTAAACAATGTAACTCTCAGTAATGAAATGTTGTTATTTAAAAATTCAACACTTGTATTTCTCATGCACCAGACAAGAAATGCAAGTGTTGATTACTTAACTGGTGGCAGTTTGCAACATCAGGGTCTGAATTGAATTCACCCATTCCTATCCATTTTAGTTCCCTGACGCCCTGGATGTCAATGTTTATTCTTACCATCTCCTGTTTGACCACATCCAGCTTCCCAAGGTTCATAGATCTTACATTCCAGGTTCCTATGTGGAACTTTTCTTTGCAGCATCGGACTTTCCTTTCACTTCCAGGCACGTCCACAGCTGAGCGTCCTTTCGGCTTTGGCCCAACCACTTCATTAGCTCTGGAGCTACTTGTACTTGTCCTCCGCTCTTCCTCAGTAACATGTTGGACACCTTCCAACCTGAGGGGCCCATCTTCTAGCGTCATATCTTTTAGCCTTTGGTTTCTGATCATGGGGCATTCTTGACAAAGATACTAGAGTGGTTTGCCAATTCCTACTTCAGGTGGATTGTGTTTAATTGGAACTCTCCACTATGTCCTGTCCGTCTTGGGTGTCCCTGCATGGCATAGCCCATAGCTTCTCTGAGTTACTCAAGCCCCTTCACCACGACAAGACAGCAATATGTGAAGGGGCAACAACAGCACCATTAAGTTATCTTTAAAATTACAATGGTGCAGCCTTACTAAGGAGTAGAGAAGAAATATTAACTGGTTCAAGTGTTTGGTTTGTGGGGCTATCTTGGGCTCTGTATCCAACTGCTGACAAGGTTTAGGAGAGAACAGCATGTACTGCACGCAGTGGCTTGTAACACTGAGGTCTTTTGGGAGAGAAAAAAAAGCTAAAAGTGACAAAGATATACCATGTAAATGCTCATAACAACTAACTACTCGGGGGGGGGCTTGTAACTGTAATTAAAGTAGTTTTCCAAACATAATGAAGTTTAAAAACCAAACAACTTGCTACCTTTCCAGAGCTGCTTCATTTTGCTCAGCGAGAGCTATTTTACGCCCTCCCGGGATCTCAAGGCTGCCCATTAATTTTTCACTGATCATGAGATTAGCTCCATCCAGGAAGAGCTTGTTCCAAATATTTTGCTATTTGAAGAAGAAAAGACTGTAGAGTACATGCATTCTTTTACTGTACTTAGCTAATTTGCTTAAAGTATTCAAGGAGTCAAATTTGGGAGAATAACTTGGATGGTACTAAGAGAGTAAATGGGAGGTGATATATCAGCAGCTACCAAAATAGTATCGATTGTGTAACATTTTCTTTTGGAAATGTTCTGAAATAATTAGACAGGTGGTTGATGGAAAGAGCGATAACAGTTTATTATTCAGAGGTGGGATGAAGGCAATAGGGCAGGTATAATAACGTCACTGCCTCCCTTTCTCATTGGCCTGGTGCCTAGAGCTCTCAACGCAGTAAATTACTTCCCATCAGCCACAGAACACGGCTGGTCTGGAAAGGGAAGATGAAGGACATGTGATGCAGGCCAGCTCCTCCTGACTGGATGGTAACAGCCAACAGGGGAGTCTATCTGAACAGTGTAATTCCAGCAGAATTGTCCTCAAATGTCCGCAACCAGTGCTGAACTTCATGGCAGGTCCTGCCATTAGGCAGAGTGGAGGAACTGCCTCAGATACAAGAGGGCGGAGGGTGGTGGTAGCAGCAGGCCCTCTAGCACCCCCTGCCTGCTCAGAGGACCCAGCTGTGTATGTCACAGTACCTGTCCTCATACCCAAAACTCGTCTTCTCTTCTCAGGGAAGGTAGGGACATGGGCTGGTCACCATTGCTTAAGAAAGATTCAGCTAGTGAGGTTTTGGTGCATGAAATGGAGACAGTGCCATTTTGTCCTTTGCCTCAGGCAGCAAAATGTCTTGGGCTGGCCTTGTTTCCCATGCCTCAGAACTCACCATCTATCCAGAGTCTGGAATCTGGTTTCACAGATAATTTCTGTATTATAGATGTATCATCTCTCAAAGCCTGGTTTGAGATTTGTGTGTGTGTTAAAGCTGGTAGGTTGTCTCAGGTGAAAAGGGAGGAGATTGCAGGATCAAAAGGCTGGACGTGGGGGTGGATCAGCTAGAGTAGCCATTCTAGAAAGCAAGGGGGGGTGCGGCTGCTCTGAAGGGGGACAGAGACTGGAAACTATTCTTCAAATACCACCTTATAAGGCTGGTTATGTGACTTATACAAGATATTACAATCTTGATTCAGCCTGTATTTTTTTCATATTGTGGGTTATGTGACTTATACAAGATACTAGAATCATGATTCAGCCTGTATTTTTTTTCATATTGTGTTTATGGCTCTGGCTAAAAAAGAAGGTTGAGAGTGGCTTTGTTAGATGGTTTTGGGGCACTTGCTCATCTGTTCAAAGAGCTGTGAACTGATTTCGAAAGTAACTGCCTGTCCAGGTGTTGTGCTCCCAAGAGCAGCTTTCACAAGACATGACCACCAGAACATCCTCTGCCAGGCAGCTGTGCCATCAGGAACCTTAAAGGGTCCGTCCAAGCATGTAGTTGACAACAGCTGAGAAAAAAAAACCCACAACACGGGGTTGCTCCTATTCTTTTAACGGCAACATGGAAATCCAGGCCTTTCACTCACACAGGTTCTTCACCCCACAGAGTGGGGATTGGGCAGGTTTGACCCTCCAGATGTTTTTTGGACTGGACTTCCCCTTGGCGGTAACTATCCCAGACAGTAGGGGGAGGGATTGCTGGGAGCTGCCGTCCAGCAACCGTGGCAAAGCTGCACACCCCAGTCATAGGGATAAAAATGCATCTACCCTATTTCCCCTAAAATAAGACCTAACCTGAAAATAAGCCCTAGTAGGATTTTGCGGGATGCTCGTAATATAAGCCCTACCCCAAAAATAAGCCCCAGTTAAGTGAAACCCCACCCTCCACCCTCGTGCAGCAACCAGAAGATGACATGACTGTATTTGAATAAATGTAGATTGTTGTACATGAAAAAATAAAACATACCCTGAAAATAAGTCCTAATTTTTATTTTATTTTATTTTATTGGAACAATTCATATAAGACCCTGGCTTATTTTTGGGAAACACAAAACGCTGTACTGCAGCTAAAACTGTGCTCACGACCTGGGGTTCAAATCCCAGGTAGCCGGCTCAAGGTTGACTCAGCCTTCCATCCTTCCGAGGTCGGTAAAATGAGTACCCAGCTTGCTGGGGGGGCAATGTGTAGCGTGTATAATTAAAATTGTAAACCACCCAGAGAGTGCTTGAAGCACTATGGGGCGGTATATAAGTCCAATAAATAAATAAATAATAAATAAATTCAACATTACTGTTAGCTCAATGGCAGTGCATGTGTTGTGCAGGCAGAAGGTTTCTGGTTCAGTCCTGGGCATTTCTAGGAAGGATCAGGAAAAACTCTTCCTTGAAACTCTGGAGATCTACTGTACTACCACTGAGTGGACACAAATCAGGGTTGCTGTCGGATCGCGCAATTCCATAAAGCAGACATAACGCCCAGCCCATTTACACCAGCATACTGTAACTTTGTTACACTGGCATGAACAAGGTACAGGTCAATGTTTCACTAGGCGACTGACTCAGTATAAGATACTTGTGGTGGGGCCAGCCCTGCTGTTAGGGGGAGTGAGGTGGTTGCTCCAGGCAGCAGTCAATGGGAAGGGATAGTAAAGTGGTGGTGGGGGGGCATTCATCTTGCTTCCTCTTAAGTTAGCCTGCAGCCTTCAAGTGTGGCTGAGGATGTTGGTTTCTCCATGTAGCACGGAGAGGGCGCTTTTTAAAATGCTTTTCTATTTGGCCTGAGGACCAACATATCTCGGGCCGGCCCTTTCAAATGTACAGTATCCCTCAGGGCTCCTTCAAAGGCATCGCTACAGGGGTTGGTTGAAAAGTTGGCAGCCTTTCTCAGGCTTTAGTTTACTGCACAGCCCCACGGCTGGTTTCAGGTGTTCAGAATAACGTACACACCAACGTTACCTTGCCATCGTTGCAGCCGCCTTGTAACGCTGAGCATTATGAATCCCCTTCCCTCGTAGATCAGGAAGGGGCCGTGGCTCAACCAGGTTGCATTCACGTGGGGACAGACAGTAGCCGGGACAGACCCGAAGGGCCCCAAGATCTTGCCAAGCCGGCCTCTGCTCGGAAGGCAGCTCGGGACGAGAAGGGAACGAGTGGTTTTCTCAACCCTCCGCTGAGCTATACGAGGTGACGCGGGGAGGGGAGGGGGAGGACAGAGGCTTCCTAATTCTTTGCCACTACGCACAACACAACGCGGGGCGAACGGATTGCAGGAGGGAGGGGGGGGGTCTTCCGTAACGCCGGTCCGATCGGGTCATCCTGTCGTCTATCCTGACACGTAACGCGATTCGGCCGAACTCGAGATCTGCCCGTCTCTCCGCTTCCTCCGCCTCCTGGAGGACGGGTTAACCCTTCCGCCGCCCGGCCCGAGGCTTTCCTTCTTTGCTTCCTCGGGCGGAGGGAGGAGGAAATTGCGGTGGGAGGCGACGCCAACCAGCACATTGTTATATGCCCTGGCGCTGGCGGGGTGCTGCGCTTTTGCAAACCGAGCCTGGGGGAGAGCGGGCGGCCGCCAGAGTGAGGCGATGGAGCCTGGCCCGGGCTGCGGGGCAAGCCGAGACGCCAGGCGCTGCCCTGCGGGCATGGACTTGCTGCCGCCGCCGCCGCCGCCGCCCTTCCCGTTGTTGTCGCCGCTGCTCCTGCCGCCGCCGCCGCCGCCGATCTTTGCAGGGGGGGAAGTGGGAGAAGGCTCGCCGCTGCTCCTGCCGCCGCCGCCGCCGCCGATCTTTGCAGGGGTGTAAGTGGGAGAAGGCGAGCCGGTGCCATGCCGGGGTCCCGTGCAGGGTCCTCGGAGCCCTCCCGGCCGCGGCGACAAGAACCGGAGGAGGAGTCGCCGCCGCAGCCGCAGGTGTCCTCCCCGGAGGGCTCCCGCGACCCGGATCGCCGCCAGCGCTGGGCCCGGCTCTTCGAGCAACTGGACACCAACAAGGATGGGCGCGTGGACGTCAACGAGCTGCGCGAGGGCCTGGCCCGCCTGGGCATGGACGCCGGTTCCCACGCCGAACAGGCGAGTCAGGGGCCCGGCGGGTGTGTGTGTGTGTGTGCGTGCGGGGCGAGGGTGGCCCCGAACCTCTATTTCCTGTTGAATCTATTGTTAGATGTATATTTTCAGGGTCAGCCTACCAGTCTCATTTCCCTCCTTTTCCTGAGTCTTTTAAGAAGCAGACATGCTGGGCGAGGGTGGCCCCGAAGGGCATTCCTGGCAGCGAGGGCTGCTGCTCTCCGGCCCCCGCAGGGGAGCCTTCCGCCAAGCGAGGGGGAAACGGAGGCACGGAGGGGCGCAAGGGGCAAGGCTGGGAAGGAAAGAGGGACGTTTATAGCCCGCCTGATTTCCGCCCCCCCGGGCTTCATTCTTCTTTTGCATCCTTTAGAGCCGGTTTGGACGGCCCGGTTGGACTGCCACTTCCACCAAAACTGGGGACGCTCAGCCAGGAATGATGGGACCTGGAGTCCGTCCATTTTTAGAGGACCACAGGTTGCCCTGTTTTAATTAGGGGGTAAGAAGTATGATATTCAGCCACCAGCTTTGGCTTAAGATGACCAAGAGCGGCCACCGAGTCCTCACTTCGTTGTTCTGTGCTGACCATCTGCTCTCCTCTTACACAATATCCCTAACAGGGTATTTTCTGAGGTATGTGAGGCGGTCCAAGGAGTGCTTTGCGGTTGCCCCCACAGCAGGCTTCCATGGCTGTGGTGGGGATTAGAACCCACGTCTCCTGAGTCCTAGTCGGTCCCTCTGTCCACCTCACCATGCTGGTTCCCATCAGGGTCTTCTGCTTTCTCAGTTCTCTTTCCCAAAGCTGGAAGAGTGGCATCTGAGGCTAAGGAGTATCTGCTTGAAAGGTCCACTGTCCCTTGTGGGGGGGGAGTGCGGGTGAGGGGGGAGCACCTTTGGTCACTCTCCAAGGAATGGACGGACTCCTCGCTCCTTGCTCCGCTGTCAAAAGGGGACCTTTTTGCACCATGCATAGCAGAGTGCATTAATGGTAGAGAGAATCCCCTCTTACCCGCACAATCCCCCGCCTTAAAAGGAGGCTTTATTAATGAGTCACCCTCGCTCCCACTCTGGCAACTAGAAAGCTCTCTGCCTCCACACATGCTCTGCACACACACACACACAAACCCCTTGTCAGAACAGTCCAACAATGTAATTATCCTGTTTAACTGAAAATGGCACTAAGGTGCAATTGCTAAGAATGAATCATTCTGAGCACAGGTATAGTCGCAGGAAGGTGCCTCTTCTGAGAGAGAAGATGCCAGGAGGGGGGATGCTGGAGTGGGCAGCTATAAAAGAGGAGACCCCCCCTCTTGTGCCTTTTTTTAGCAGCTCTCTCCACCATTGACTTTCAGTTGCCGCAGCTTCTCACCCCCACCTGACAAAGAGGAAGTCTCAACTCTTCCTCGCTTAGAGACTTCGTCCCTTCCTTGCACTTCATCAATTTGAGAGTAATGAATGGAGGAAAAACAGGGACATGAAAATGCCAGGTTGAGCACAGGGAGAAGACGTGCAGGCAGCCTCTCATCTGAGCCTTGGGAAATACGTTGCAGGATAAGAAAAATTTTGGTATAAATATGTGTGCAGCGGGTGACGGCATGGGGGCCTTAACGCACTGGGGGATTAGAAGCGGGCCTTTTGGGGTCAGCTGGTACTTCTTTCGGACAGGCTGCTGGTTTCGGGCGCAGGCTTCTGGAGGGGTGGCTGCTTTAAGCTTGTAGTGAAACCAGCAGCGAGTCTTAGGGCACCTTTGAAGAATTAAGAGATTTATTGTGGCGTAAGCTTTCTGTGGACTGGCGTCCACTTCATTGAGTGTACAAAGCCTTATCCTCCATTGACATATCTTGCGTGGGTGGGTGTTTATGCATGGGGGAGTAGGGGGAAAGAAGACAGTGGAGCTGAATGGCAGTGAGACAGAAAATATGATTCAATGAAAGTGGGGAAGTTTGGGAAGTAAGCACAATCATCATGAATGTAGCGGAATAAAGAGAATGGGGGTGGGAGTCCATACATTTGCCTAGCTCTGCTCGACTGGGTGCTTGCAGACGGAGGGCATCTGTTGTCATAATTAAAAAGCATGTGGAACTTGTCCAACTTTTCTGCTTTAATGGGAGGAAGAAGAAAGCATAGGAAAGCACTGAGGACAGATCTAGAGATTGAAGACAATCCATCCGTGTAAGACCTTCATGAATGAGGCTGTACAATTGCACTAGGAACATTCCTCTAGAAACACTCCTCATGTTCTAGTACTATCTTTTCCTCCCCGGTGCCTTAAGAGATTTCGAATGAGAACTTTCCACAATCTTTATCCATTGGTCATATTGGTTGAGGCTGATGGGAGTTTACCAGGGAAGAGAAGCAGGGTATATTACCTCCACTCACAAAGAAGCCTTGATTTAGCTTAATGGTAGTCTTAGAGCTTGACTGTTCTTAGTATTAGTCTTGAGGCATTATAATGCATAATCTCATTAATTTAACAACAAAGTCTATGAGTCTGATAAAGTGATCCGTAATCCATGAAAGCTTTTGTCACATAAAACTTGTTTGTCTTCAGGACTTCACATAACTTTTTATTGTTTTCCCTGTAACAGACCAACACACAGCTAGCTGGCCCTTGGAAGTGTCATTCCAGGAGCTTCTCCCCCAGCTCCAGAGCCTTAGAAATATCCATAGGAAGGCATGTGTTCTGGTGAAAAGTATAATATGTGTTTGCTGCCTGCCTTCCTTCCCTCTTCTTTCACAAGGATAGCTCCTTTTTGGTGCTGTGAAAGAATTGCATTGTTTGGTGGTTTCTGAAGGTTCAACTCAAAAGCGCATTAGGCTGCCCCCCAGGGCAGAATGTAAATTATTCTGGGAGTGGCTCTAGAATGAAGCTTTATTTAACTCTAAGATTTAAAAAGTCATGCGGAATTAATTCTATATCTTTCTGGAACACACACACACCCATGAAACAACTAGAGCCAAGTGTGAAGATGTGTCAGGGGTAGATGGATGGAACCATCCATTTCGCATTAAGATCAATTTGTGTTTTCAATATCAGAACTGAACCCTTAAATCTGTGACACTATTTACTATTGGTTTAGATTGGTTTTTCATTTTAGCAGCCTAATTTAGTATGTGAGAGAGCAGAGTGAGGAGCCTTATTATTGCTGCTCTTTTGAAACAAACTGGAAGTTAGAAATCCTTGCTGGTCTTATCTGAATCAACTGGAATCTACTAATAGTTCCAGGTCCACCTTTTGTCCAGCCCTACTGTATGAACATAAGAAGCTGGATTAACTGTGAGACCCTGGCTTAAACTCTCAGAAATCGTGCCCCGGCACAGCTGTGGGGAAGGTTTGTGGGAATTTTAGCCCAAGAACATCTGGAGACTCAAGGTTGGGAACCATTGCTGCAGATAAAAGGGACAGCCAGGGAATAGCAGAAACGGAAGTGCCATTATAGCAGAGAAAAACGTATTTATGCTCCTCCAAAAGGAAAGCAACACTAAGCCTTGTGCTACTCAGTACAGTCTCTTGTCAAAAGTAGTTCTCCACTTTCAGGCTTCATAGAGCCCCAAACAGCTTGGCCAATGGCCAGGGTTTCTTAGAGCTAAATCTCAAAGCATCTCGGAAGACCAAAGACTGAGAACTGCTGAAAAACAAACAGATTTGACAGTTATGGATTACAAATGTCAGAATTATTAGGAGATAAAAAGAGTGTTTAAAGTTGAGGATTCATACCTGAATTGCCCTGTTAGAAAGAGGGCACATAGGGTCTGAATGTGCAAAAGATGAAAACTTTTATCCAAGCATTGTAGTCCCAAAATATAATTTGAACAACAGTCCTGACAAATGTGAAGCCCACGTAAGAAGTTTTGGATTACAAACTCAATTGACCATGAACCACAATCACTGTGGATTAGCATCAGGGATAGTATTAGTGAAGAAGGCAAAAGGACAATTTCTGTAGTAAAAATAAAAGAAAAACCTAAAGAGATTACAGATGAAACATTAAAAATTGTAAAACAAAGATGAGAAGCAAAAGTAGAAGGTAACAGAAATAAGGTCAGCATTCTGAATGCAGTTTTCCAGGGACTGACATTTAGAGACAAAGATAGCTACTATAGTTGCCAGTGCAAAGCCATAGAAGAGAACAACAAAAGAAGAAAAACAAGATATCTCTTCCAGAAGAGTCAATAAATTAAAGGAAAAGTTAAGCCTGGGTTAGGAATGCTGAATGATCAGCAGGGAAACACACTGTCTAACCAGGAGAATATAAATACAGTATAAGGTGGAAACAGTATACAGTATATGCAGTACTGAAAATCTATACAGGATAACATAGCAGATTATGAAGAACCTAAGAAGTGAAGTGAAAGTTGCTCTGAAAGCAACTTTCTAGAAAGTGGAGTGAAAGCTGCTCTGAAAGCACCAAAAAGAAATAAATCACTAGGGGTAGTTGGGATACTAATAGAACTCTTTCAAGCCACAAATACTGAAGCTGTCAAAATAAAAAAAAAGAATATGCCAACAAATATGGAAAACAGAACAATGACCCACAGACTGGAAATGTTCAATATACATTCCAATACCCAAGAAAGGAGATGCCAAGGAGTACAATAATTCCAGGATCATTGATTTCATTTCCCATGCAAATAAGCACAGTATTGCTTTATATGGAATGATAAATGCATGATGTTTAAGGTGGATTCAGAAAAAGGAGAGACACTTGAGATCACATTGTAAACATCTGCTGGCTGCTGGACTGCATGCACCAAAGAATTTCAGAAGATTAGTTTATGTTTTATAGACTACATCAAAACCTTTGACTGTGTGGATTATGAGAAATGGTGGGTTGTTCTGAAAGAAATGGGTGTGTGCCTCAGCACTTGATGGTCCTGATGTGGAAAAGAAGCTATTATTAGGACAGAATATGGTGAGACAGAATGGTTTCCAATAGGCAAAAATTTTAGATAAGATGCACTCTTCTGTTCAATCTGTACACAATGCAAAGCATACAGAAAGCCAGACA